ATAACAAAAATAGTCTTTTTATCAATTCGCCATCTATCTTGAATTTGTCTGTACAGAAGCCAAGAAAAATTTGGGTTATTTTGCTTCAAAACCTCTATTGATTTTAGGCACCAGCTACCACCACCACTCTGGTATAACAAATCTTTATATGTAAGTCCCTCCATTACCACTCCTCTAGTTATAGTTTCAAAGATATGTGATGGTATCACCCAGAGTGGTAGTTTAACATCAAACTTGAAAAAATACTTTTGCCAAACTCTTAACAGTGCAGTCCTTATTATATGATTTCTGAAGGTTTTATCTATTTTTTTCTGCATAAAAAGATAAGCATGCCACCCAAAGTACAAGTCCCATCCTTCGACATTCAAAATCCCCTTGTTGGACAAATTAATCCAATCGGTCGTCCACGTTAATGCACAAGAATCATAATAAAGTGTCAAATTTGGTACTTTAAGTCCTCCACGTTCTCTGGTATCTTGAATAATCTTAAATTTAACTCTCGCCTTCTTGCCTTCCCAGATAAAACGATTCAAATCTCTTTGCCATTCTTTCAAGTTAAGTTCATTTTTTAAAATAGGTATCATCTGAAATAGAAAAAGAAACTTAGGCAAAATGTTCATTTTAATGGCCGCTATACGACCCAGCAAAGAAAGCTGTAGTTTTTTCCACGTTGATAAGTCCTTTTGTACCAATTTCCACAATCTTTCATAATTGTTCTGATACAATTTCACATTGGAGGATGACAAAAAAATTCCCAGGTATTTGACTTTATTAACCACTTCAAATCCTGACATTTGCATAAGTTGATCTTTTCCTTTAGCAGTCATGTTCTTTGTAAGAATTTTAGTCTTATTCACGTTAATTTTAAATCCAGCCACTTTACCATACTGATACAGCTCTTGTAACAAAAATTCCAATGATTCAATTGGTTGAGTCAATGTAAAAACTAAATCATCAGCAAAAGCTTTAAGCTTATATTCTTTAGTAGAAATCTTTAATCCTTTAATCATTGGAGATTCTCTAATTCTAGATAACAGGATTTCCAAAGACAATACAAATAATAATGGAGAAAGTGGACAACCTTGTCTAGTACCTTTTTGTATGTCTATAAGCTCTGTCAAATCTCCATTGATAATTATTTGAGCACATTGTTTTTGATAGATCGCTTTTATGTGCTCATTCGCAGTTTGAATAAGCCCCGATGTACATAACCTGTGGAGCCAAAGCAGCGAAACCACACTTTGCCACAACACTGCGGCATAAACCTACATTGCTTTTAAGGAGAATAGTTAATCAGCAGATGCCCGATATTTCCCCCCTAAAAAGACTAATTTTGAGAGCATTTTCTGCTGTAGAGTCCTCTGTATGAAACCACATTTCATCTGAGATTAACTTAGCTCCAACTGTGATGATTTTAACCTGGTTAAATAGCCTGGCTTTGTGACCCGTGCTGAAAGTATGAGCATTGGACAGGCTGTGTCCTGGATTTGTCGATCTTAATTTATGAAGCTCAGCTGCAATCAATCATTCAATCTATCAATCAATCAGAATAGAGCTAAAGGGGACTTAGGAGGAGGAGAACTGTGGGGTCCTTGGTGCTCTCTAGCTTGGTGGTTTTCTTGCAGAACTTTCATGACCCTACTGGGTAATAATAATAATAATAATGATAAAGTTGGAAGGGATCTTGGAGGTCACCTAGTCCAACCCCCTGCTCAGGCAGGAAACCCTATACCATTTTGGACAAATGGCTGTCCAGTCTCTTCTTAAAAACTTCCAGTGTTGGAGCATTCACCGCTTCTGGAGGCAAGTTGTTCCACTGGTTAATTGTTCTCACTGTCAGGAAGTTTCTCCTTAGTTCTAGGTTGCTTCTCTCTTTGGTTAGTTTCCACCCGTTGCTCCTTGTCCTGCCTTCAGGCTTTGGAAAATAGCTTGACTCCCTCTTCTTTGGGGCATCCCCTGAGATACTGGAAGGCTACTATCCTGTCCCCCCTCATCCTTCTCTTTATTAAACTAGACATACCCAATTCCAGCAACCGTTCCTTATATGTTTTAGCCTCCAGTCCCCTAATCATCTTTGTTGCTCTTCTCTGTACTCTTTCTAGAGTCTCAGCATCTTTTTTACATCGTGGTGACCAAAACCGGATGCCGTATTCCAAGTGTGGCCTTACCAAGGCCTTGTAAAGTGGTATTAATACTTCACGTGATCTTGATTCTATCCCTCTGTTAATGCAGCCTAGCACTGTGTTGGCTTTTTTGGCAGCTGCAGCACACGGCTGGCTCCTATTTAGGTGATTGTCCACTAGGACTCCGAGATCCCTTTCACAGTTACTACTATTGAGCAAGGTACCCCCTATACTATACCTGGAGGAGGAGGAGGAGGAGGAGGAGGAGAGGACTGTGGGGTCCTTGGTGGTCTCTGAGCTTGGTAGTGTTCTTGCAGACATTTCATTACCAAATTAGCTAACATTATCAGATATAGATATAGATGTAGCACTGATGATGTTACCTAGCTCGGTAATGAAACGTCTGCATGAACACCACCAAGCTCAGATACCACCAAGCACTCCATAATTTAAATCCTTCCCCCTTCTAGCCAGTTCATCGAGGTCCTTGGTGCTCTCTGACTCTGAGCTTGGTTGCTTTCTTGCAGACCTTTCGTGACCCAATTCAGTAACATCATCAGGGCTAGAAGGGAGTAGGGTTTGCGGAGAGGAGGAAGAAGAGGAGAAAGAGAGGAGGATTGTGGGGTCCTTGATACTCTCCGTGCTTGATTGTTTGCTTGCAGACATTTCATTAATTCAACTAAATAACAGCACCGGCAAACCACCAATAATAATTCCACAGCTCTTATCTCCAGCAAATGCAATATCCCTGAATATATTGCTATAGGTCCATTTTCGACTTAATCCTTTATCCCGTTTTTCTGGATTCAGCAACAACCGGAAATGAAGCAACACTTTGCAAAGGCAAAGTTCACACGGTACAAGAGAGTCCAATGTACTTTAGTATCTCTGAGGAGTTTTGCCGTTTATTTTTTCTTCCGCAAATGAATTGAAAGGGAGCAAAATTGAGATGGTTAAAGGATGCAGGATGCTGCGCTTTGGCTGCTGGTCCAGGAATGAAACACCAGATTGGAAGGTGGAACCAACCCAAAGGTTGGTTAGATAAAAGATAGGCTGGATGTTATCCTAGATTTGGCCATCTTTTGGTTCCTGCAATGGTTTTACAAGGCAGCTTGAAAATTCCCATTCTCTCTGGAGATTCTCAGTCATCCAGGTCATGGTTGTCCCAAAGGTGTTTATTTCCAGGAGGCAACTGGACTTTCTTGTTTTTCTTTGAAGACATATTGCTTCCCATCCAAGAAGCTTCTTCAGCTCTGACTGGATGGTGGGGAGTGGAAGGATTTATACTCCTTGCAGACAGCTGTTCATTTGCATTTGTAGGAAGACACCCCCCCCTGAGAAATATTTTGGGGAATATTAAAAAGGCAGAATATTATATTTCTCCAAAGGAATAATGGAGAAGATCTTAGAAGGCAGACACTTCTCCCTCTCCTCCCAGTCAGAAACTCAGCAGGCCAGCTCTGTAGAAATGCAGATTTGATAATTCCATTCAGCCCCATTCATGAGGAAATAGTACCTGCAGAAACCCATTCAAGACAGGATCTTTTGAAATCCCTTGCAGCAAAACTGATAGCTAAAAATAACAGAGTGATAGAACTAAAACCAGCAACCCCTCACTCAAAAAATCCAACACAGGACATAGCCATCACCGCAGCCCCAGAGAAGCAGGACATGACCTTTAGGACATAATAGGATTAACCCACGACCATCAGAATACCAAAAAGGACACACTCAAAAGCTCAGGTCAAAATTTATACCACAGGAACAACTCCTAACACAAAAGCCCAAGGAGGTATAAAAACCCACCACTCCCAGCTACATGTGGTCAGCTTTCCGAGAGCCACATGCTGTGGTGCTTCTGCTCTTCAATAAATAGAACCTTCTTTCTAAAGCAGTCTCCATTTTGTTTATTCCCGGCTTGGACTGGACCCTGATGAAGATTTTTCTTTCAACACGTTCTTTTAAAAGAGTCGTTGAGGCCACTTGGAGGTTCATCTGTGTCCTCTCTCTAAAAGAAGGCAAATGACAGCTGTCTGCAAGGAGTATAAATCCTTCCATTCCCCACCATCCAGTTAGAACTGAAGAAGCTCAACATAGAATAGAGCTGGAAGGGACCTTGGAGGTCTTCTAGTCCAGCCTCTTGCTCAAGCAGGAGAACCTATACCATCTCAGACAAGTGACTGTCCAGTCTCTTCTTAAAAACCCCCAGTGATGGAGCGCCCATGATTTCTGGAGGCAGGCTGTTCCACTGGTTGATCGTCCTCATTGTCAGAAAGTTTCTCCTTAATTCCAGGTTACTTCTCTCTTTGGTCAGTTTCCAACCATTTCTCGTCCTGCCCTCTGGTGCTTTGGAGAATAACATGACCCCCTCGTGTTTGTGGCAGCCCTTCAAATACTGAAACACTCTATCATGTCTCCCCTATTTCTTATTTTCTTTAGACTAGCCAAACTCAAGTCCTGCAGCCGTTCTTTGTATGTTTTAGTCTCCAGGCTTTGGATCATCTTAGTTGCTCTTCTCTGAATTTTTTCCAAACTCTCAACATCTTTTTTGTGATATGGTGACCAAATTGGCTGCAGTATTCCAGGTGTGGTTTTATAAAGCGGTACTAATACTTCGCGTGATCTTCATTCTGCGCCTCTGTTTATACAACCCAGGATTATATTAGCTTTTTTGGCTGCTGCTGCACATTGCTGGCTCAAGTGCTCCTTGGATGAGAAGTGAAACGTCTTCAAAGCAAAAACAAGAAAGTCCAATTACCTCTTGAAAAAAGCACCTTTGGGAGTCCATAAAAGTATATGAGGCGGAACTATTCTTTGCGGTTCAGGTTTCCATCCGGACTTTTTGTCCCTTCCTTTTTTTTATTCTCTCCTGCCTTACAATGGCGACGACCGCCCTGCTTCTTTTTCCTCTTGCACTTCTTTTGCTGTGGCTGCTTCCTCGCTTGTGGCTGCAGCGCTACCGCGGCCTGAGGAAGTGGAGGCGGCGGCCAGAGCACCGGACGCTTTTCTCAGATGGACCGCAGGCGCTAGCGGCAGTGCGACGCGACGTCCCGGCCACCCGCGTCCTCTTCGTGACGGCGCACCCTGATGACGAAGCGATGTTCTTCGCCCCCACCATCCTAGCCTTCAAGTCGGCCAGCCTGTGGCTTCTCTGCGGCTCCACAGGTGAGGGAGGGGGGAGGGAAAAGGGAGAGACGCGGAGTCGCCTAGCAACCGCGGCTTCGACACGCCCATCTTGCGCGCGGACTGCAGGAACTCATGCCGTTGCCGTACGCTATCGGCGTCGCTCTGACGTCATCTGGATCCGACCGGAGGGCTTTCCAAAGAGCCCCGCCCATCTCTAGCCTGTATTGCCTAAGCTAATAAAGGCCCGCCATTTGAGTGTGAC